GCGACGTCTCATCCACTATATACCGTCCTGGTTGCTTTATCTACTGAAGAAATTATTATTTGAGGTCGTTTAAAAATTAAAACAAGAAAAAAAGCAGTATTTCAATGCTTTTTCCAAAAATTTTCGGAATAAATTATTACATTCGTTGTACTCCCTTGTACTTCCATGTACTCCCGTGTACTCCCGTACTCCGAGTACGTGATTTCCCCCTTGTACTAGTCCCTTCACCCTATGTTCTTGATATTGAGATTAATGGGTAAAAAAAGTCGGTACTTATATCTCGATCATCTCGAGATGGAATAAAATTCCCAAGATAGGGTCTTGTAGAGCAAAGTCTTCTCTACAAAACTCACTAAGTCACTAGGTCTGGGAATTTGCCCTTCAGGAATTTTCTAAGGACTAACTTCGAAGGACTCTTGTTCGCCATTGGTTACTAGTGTGTCCAATAAAAAATTTTTACTAGATCAATCAATCATAAAAGGCTATATATGAGCGAATGCACTGCCGCACAGCAAACAAGAATATATAATTAGAATTAATTTTTGTTCATATAATAAGAAAAAGAGGAAGTCTACAAAATTTGCAAATTTTGCATATTTTTTGCATTTTTTACAGTTTTTGGGATTTTCCAGTTAAACTTGTGAGAGCTGTATCTCCTCGAAGGAACAATATTTCGAGCTGATTTTTTTATCATGAATATAATTCATTGAGACCTACAAAATGAAATAGGTTTCAATCAAATTGGAGATAGTTGTGTTTTTTTTGGGAGAAATCCCATGGAAATGTCCTTAAATGTCTCGTATCCGCTTATTGATTATCCTTAGGACGTATTGGCGAAATTCTCGAAAAATTCAGTTTATGATCAAGTATCGATTATCAGTTCTTTCCACAGTGAATACAACTACCTTGAGAGTGCAGTGTTTTTCGCATCAAATACATATCCACAACACTAAGGCATTTTAATAAACTAGTTCTTTAACTTTTATGAAAGATGTAACGTAGTATAAATAAAAGTTCACATCTAACAGCATTCTCCATCTTATCAATGATTTTTTTTCGTAGTAAATGTGTCGTCTATTCGAACTAAAAAAATACATGAAGACATTGAAAAAAAATGTTCAACTACTGAAGAATTGATGAAAGCAAACTTGGACCAGGAAAACATAGAACTATTAGTCCAAGGTTTAGAATCGAATCCAATGTGGATAAAGGGAAAAATTCAAGCAACTTCATTTGAGCAGGAAAACATAGAACCATTAGTCAAAGGTTTAGAAGGGAATTCAATATGGATGAAGGGAGAAATTCTACCAAAGCTATCTGGGCAGGACGACGAATATTCTACAAGGCTGACAGCAACTCCACAGAGAATGGTCATCGTCAAAAAAACAGACAATCGAACCATCGCAATTCCACTGAAGTCAATTATATCGATTCAAGGACAGAGTCTTAAAACAACGTTGACACAAAAAGTGCTGAAGCAAAGCTTGCAAATCTATTACAAAAATCAGTCGGATTCGAATGGTTACGCTTTCATGAAATATCTAACATTTGGAATGACCTGGGTACCATCATACGAGTAAATATGATGATGTAAATTTGCCTATTCACTCAGTTTTTTTTTCAAATAGTTTGACTCTAATAACATCCAAACACTCGGACACAAAAATGTTGCGCTTGTCGCTAAAATGTGTCATAATGAACGATATTGAAGATGGCTACGTTGAAAATCTGTTTTGTATTGTCGGTCATCCAAATATTTCCAAGTATATCGATGTTACTGATCCAGTATTCAATGACAAGTCAGCAAAAGAATTTTTAAATGAAATAGCTCAATGTGAACGCTCGTCGTTGTCATCGACAAATAAGTACACTAGCAGTAGAATTTATCATTCCGAGCATATTTCTGATTCTGGTATGACATCATCTGACGATGGCGATACGAATGAAAGCAATAATGCGAGCGACGATTTTCATCTATACCGATTTCATAATGTTTTACTCGAGCAAAAAGAAAAAGTCTTATTATCGGTATTCGATATTGAAGTACCATACAAAGATCTTTATCAGTGTAAAATTAATGGAACTAAACGCTCTGACGAACTTATGGCAACACCTGAGGTATGGTTCTCTTAAAACTCTCTAAAGAATGAAATTATTTCTTCTACTTCACAATAATTGAAAATAGTTCGTGCAGGTATCTATCACCGTTGATATTTTTTAGCCCTTTGAGAACACCGAAAATTGACTGCGTGCCTAAAAGTTCAATGCACATCGATACATGATCATGCACTATGAAATCATAGCACGAAGGAGTCCTATCATTCTGAGAATAGTAAAAACTGTACGTTTTCCGATCTCATCAAAAAATGAATTTTATCACTATAGTGTAATGCATTAAATATATTAGTATGAACGTGTAGTCTACTGGAAATCATTATCGGACATATTGAAAATCATATATTTTGTACCCTTCTTTCCATTTCATAAGATCGTATATGATATCATTGAACACTGGCGTTTGTAAGTGTCGTATCTTCGCTTGTTCTACCCATTTCACTTAGCAATCATTCACTGTTTTCTTTAGTCCATGAGGTATCAAAGAAAACGTAGTTGAATGGTGCATTTTGATGTCTTCGAGTATCGTTTTCTCTCATTTTAAATCTCGATTAACCGCTATATGGGATGTTCTCAAGTGGGCTATCAGATAACAGTATTAGGATTCTTGTAACGATCTTGAAGACAACCACGTGAGTGTTCATAGAGAATGGCGTCCAAATTTGAATAGCATCACACCAGTGTGTCCAGTGTATAGTAGAAAATGTGTTTCATTGGGCGTCCAGTTTTTTCAGAGGATGTACCATACATTATGTCACAAGTCATGACACATTCGACGTAGTTTATTATGCAAAACTGCTGGTTATCGTATACTATCATATTTCGGGTACTTGCCCACTTGGGACATATCAATCTTATCACACTCTGAAAAAAATTTTCTTTGGTAGTGAGTGTGAGTGTGAATTAGATTAGATCGAGCATATAGCATCCAAACCAAGGGGGAAACAGCAGATTTCAAGATTTCAAGATTTCAAAAGATTTCAAGGATTTTCAAGAAATTTCATGAGGTTTCAAAAGATTTTGGGAGATTCGCAGCAATCAAAAATTAATGGACTATTCACGAGTTCATGTCTACAGAGCTGGAGAGGAATATCATAGGACCTCAAGGTCTATATTATGAAGGCACCCGTGGGTTGTCAAGCTTTATATTATAAAGGTATCCGTAGGTACTCAAGTTCTATATTATGGAAGTACTCATAAGTCCTCAAGCCTTATATTGGAAGGTACTAATAAGTCCTCAAATACCATATTGGAAGGGTATCCATAGGTCCTCAAGTCCTATATTATGGATGTACCCGTAGTCCATCAAGTCCTATATTATCGAGGTACGCATAGGGCCTTAAATCCTATATTATAAAGGTATCCATAGCCATCAAGTTCTATATTAATAGGGTATCCATAGGTCCTCAATTCCTATATTATAGAGGTATCCATAGGTACTCAAGCTCTATCCTATGGCGATACCCATAAGTTCTCAAAGTCGGTCGAGATTTGGTATACCCAATCTTGACAGAGATTGAAAACCTATGGGTACCCTCGTACTATAGGCATTGAGGGCCTATGGGTACCTCAATAGGATAGGATTTCAGGGTCTATGGTACCCTCATAATATAGAAGTTGATGACCTATGGGTAGCTCCATAATATAGGACTTGAGGAGCTATGAGTACCCTTACAATATAGGACCTGAGGACCTATGAGTACTCTTATAATATAGGACTTGAGGTGCTATGGGTACCTCCATAATATAGGACTTGAGGAACTATGAGTACTCTCATAATATAGGACTTGAGGACCTATTAAAAAGAGTTTGAGAGATTTCAAAAAGATTTCCAAAGATTTCAAGGAATTTCAAGAAATTTCAAGGAATTTCAAGAGATTTCAAAGTATTAAAATCTGCTGTTTCCCCCTTGGTCCAAACTCACTCCTGTATCATCGTACACCCACAGTCACGTAAATTCATTTTAAGCTGAAACAGAAGTTACTTTTTTAATGCTCTTTTCACTTGATTACAGGTCTGGCATGCAATTGAATTCGAGAACAGATCTAAACATACTCTAACTACTGCTCCTGTAACGATCACTCAAGACAACCATCAATTTATTTGCCAAGAAAGTTTGCCCTTCACTTTGAAAAATGATTCGACATTCATCAATTTAACCAAGGCACCCAGTATTCGGGTAACATACGAAGAAAAAAGTTCAGATGTTCAGTCAGCGAAATCTTCTACCGTGACAATTCTCAAGAAGACGTACGCCAAAGAAGAATGGGATGGAAGCTTAATGGTCATCAACACTAAGAATGAGTCGGTAACTGTAATTATCAGACTTCAATTGTATGGTGAGATATCGAAGTATTCGGTAGCACCCAATGTTGATGCTGTGCGACATGGGCAGACTGTAGCAAACAAATTGCACGATATTAGATGGGATATTCGACTTGATCCGCAGAAACGACAAGAAATAAACTACCGCAGAATCTTCAATCGATAACTCAATTCATCCAAGTTTCAGAAGTCTCATTTTTCATAATGCCAACTCGTGAATATCTGATTAGAACACTATAAAACGCTACTAATGCATTAACTTGAATGCGTGACGAATAATGGAAAAAAAATAAAACATGAAAAAACGACAACGAAGAAAGTCGGTTCGTTGGCGAAAGCATCTTGGTAATTCTTATGATGTGTGGGTGTGGGTGTGGGTGTGGGGGGTGAGTGGGTGCGGGTATGCATGTGGGTGTACGATGATACAGGAGTGAGTTTGGACCAAGGGGGAAACAGCAGATTTTAATACTTTGAAATCTCTTGAAATTCCTTG